CCCCAAAACCCCAAAACCCCAAAACCCCACTTCCCTCTTTTCCTACTGAAATCCCACTAAATTCCCCAAAAGTCCAGTCTAAGGCTAGTTTTCTTCCTTTTCTTTATAAAATTTCAGAGCCAGCCGCTTGGGATAGTACAAAATTTTGTTCGTGAGTGGTGAATTTGTACTGAGAGAAATTAAAAATTTTAGGTAAGGGAGAAAATTGGAAATTTATGGAAGAGATTTTGGGGAGATTATGGGTTTAGGTGTGATTTTGGGATTTTGACTGGGATTTTGATTTGTGCTTGGATTTTCGTTTTTTGGACTTTTTGGATTTTTTGAGAGGTTTTGGGGATTTGGTGGTTTCTGCAGGATTTTGGGGAGTTTGAGCGGGGGGTTTGAGGGGCGGGGATTTGAGGGAGGAGGTTCTTTTGTGTGGGAATTTCTGGAAAGAAGTGTAAAAAATTTGTTTGGGGAAAGAAATTTTTAGATAAGCTAGTGTCTTGAGTTTGTATTTCTGTAAAGTGATGCTCTTTAATGTTGTTTCTAAGTAAAATATAGCGTCTAAAATCACAAAAATTTCCTATTCCGAGAACACAATCTCAAAAAACTTACAGAATTAAATTCTCTTTCATCATGATTTAGTAATTCCAAATGCAATTCATTGGTAATATCTTCTAACATGGCTGCTTTTGTCTGAAGCATATCTACTCTAGTTATCTGATTGATAATATCTCTCTTCCTATTCAGAGATTCTTTATTTCTGCAGTACTCTATTTCTCTTTGTAGCATCTTTGCATCTCTATTTCTACAAGGGAAGAGGCTTTTCAAGAAGTCATTTGAGCTACAGGATGATCAGCTTAAATTTACTCATATGATCTGGGCCTGAAATATTGACTCTTTACTGTATCATCACTTTCATTCACCATGTTCAGGTCGAGTTTACTCTTGGTAGCCAGCTCTTTGTACTCTTGAACTTTCTTCTCTTTAATCCTGAGGAATTTCTCGCTCTCACTCTTTTCAACCTATCATAAATGATATCTTTTCTGAAGGAATTTTGTTTGATATTGATAAACTCCTTGAGCCAAATACTCTCAAAGGGTTAGAAAAGCAGGCTGAGGGTATACCCTCCAGATCCCAGTGGCTACAGTATACCCAAGGTTTAGAATAGACTACTTAGATATGTATATTCACTATTTTTAAGGCCCACAAAGGTGTTATTAAAGCTCAGGTCTTAAAAATGCAGCTAACTTTACCTTTCCGAGGAACTTCTTATGAGAGTAGAGTGCGACCAAGCTCACTTCAGTGAGCTTGTCTAATATTGGCCTAAGAAAAGTTCCTAATATGAAGAACAAGATGATGTAGAGCCCTCCTAGGTTAGAGCATATGTAAAGTATCCTAGGAATCAATTTTTGAGTGTCCTTTTCCTTCTTAACATTAGTAGAGTTCTGAGCTGTCTGCAAATTCCTGTAATTTGGAGGGTATTCTATAAAAGTTAAATAAAAGAGTACTTGGAAGGTACTGGTTTATGGATATATCCTGGTATGATTCTACTTGTTCATCACATTCAAGCCAGATCTCGAATGGATTAACAAAATATGACCTGTACATCATCTTCTGGACCTGAATATAGTAACCTTGATAATAACTTCCTGAACTTGACACGTACTGCATGTTCCGAAGTCTGAACATAAGTCTGTTAGTCATTCCATTTATAGCAGCCAGAGTCTCTTTTTGGAGGGTGTAAGTGAAGCCTTGGAAGTTTATATCAGAGTATTCTGCTTGCACATAGATTATATCTAGTTCTAGATCCTGAATGTAATCGGCTATAATTTGATTGTTAGTCTCTTAAAGGTGAATTTTTCATGCCAAGAACACGTTCTCAGTTATTCTGTCAAGGAAGAGGAAGAAAATGCTTACATATTGAAGGGTTACAGAATGCTCCTGCGCCTGAGTCGTAGCATTGTAGCGTCTGAGCTATAGTTTAAGCTAGTGTAATGCTATGTTTTATTTGAAGAATTTAGGTCAGTATAAAAGAAGCAAGTTTGACGGATTCCCTAATTTATTTTTGGGATAGCTATTCTTCTTAAATTTCTCAAGTTAACCGATTTTGCCATGTCTCTGTATAGCCATACTTACCAATAGCCACTGATCTCAGTGTTCCTAAGAAATTACTAGCTATGGAAATCACAGAACTTGCAGAAAATCCTATAAATTTCATCAAAACCTTACATAAATAGTCCGAAATATTCATCGCAACCGCTTGCGCTTGAAGACTGGCCGGAAAACTCCCTATAACCTACAACACATCAAAACCACTCCTATCACCCCCTAAAACTCTCTTTCTTGCCCTATTCTTGCCTCTAAACCTCCCTCCCTACCCTCTCTCCTAATCCCCTAATAACTCTAGCCCCTATTCCTCTACACACTTTTAGTTCAGAACAGGTATTTTAGCTGGGAAAATTGGGTGTTTAGTAGAACAAAATTTAAGAATTTGTATGGGCAGAGGGGGATTTTTGGGAGGGTGGGTGCGAAATCAGAGCGTGTGAGGGGAGGATAGGTTTTGTTATAAGCATGTATGGGTTTGTAGAGGTATACTTGTTTTTGTAAAAATTTGGATAGTGAGAAAAAAAACTGTTTTTGAGGATCTTAAAAGAAAATTTGCTTACTGTGTCTGACAACTCTCAATTCTATAGAAGTCTTTAAGATGATCTTACTGGATTGGAAATGAGTTGCTGTTTTGGATCAATGACCCGCTCAAAACAAGATTAAGATTTGGGTCATAAGCCTTGGAAAACTTAAATGCAATCTGAAAGCCAGCATTTATCGGATAAAAATAATTTGGATTTTCGTAGAAATTATCAAAATTTCCCTTTGCCTCATATTTTTGATAAACTCCTGAAAGAGTAGAATCTAAATTTTAAGCTTAGGTTTACAATTAGTATAGTAAGTGTTTCCATCATCATAGTCTGTATACCAATCATTTGGAGCGAACGAGTCGGGGATCTCTTCAGGAGCAGTAGGACAAGTCCCATCTGTAGTTCTTGTTTCTGTAACTGTATTATTTTTCTCAAGTTCAATCTAACAATCATACCTCAAACTCACCGGCTCTAGTACCAAAATCACCCCAAAAGCCGCTACTCCAGAGATCACTACCAACAGAGCTGCCTTATTTTCATGCTTCAATACACTTTCTCCTTTTCCCTGCTACAAGTTCCGGGGTTTGGCCGAACACATCGATGCTTCTCAAGAAATTGGCTAAATTTTAATGAACTCTGTTCGCACAAAATCTCAAAGCTACAAAAATCCTAAAAGTCTCTTAACCAATTAGGCACCGCCCAGCTAGCCCAAGTGGGCTAGCTGGGCTGGCCTGCCTAGCCTGTTAAGCCAGGTTAAGGATTGGAGAGGTTTTAGGAATTTGAGTGGGAAAAGAAATTTCAAAAATTTGGAGAAAGAAAATTGAAAAAGAAAAAATTTTAGTGGAGAAATTTTATTGGAAAGATTCAGAAAATTGGGGGTTGAGGGTAGGGGTGTAGGTGGTGAATTAGGGAGTTTTGAAGGAGTAAGAGAAAGTACTTGATTTATTTGTAATTTTATCTCTAAAACCAAATATTTTAATTTTTGTCATTATAACCTGAACATTATATATAAAACATTCTAACCTTCTAAAAGCTAATCCCGACTTCTATTAACCCTCAATCACCTTCTAATTCCATTACCATGTCCAATGCCAACCTTTTACAAAATTTTCCTAAACCCCCCTCTAGATATCACCCATGCTAAAACTCATTGCCTCATCCCTAGCACTCCAAACACTTACTTCTCAAAATCTCATAGCTAGTTCCCGATCACTTATTCTCAAACTTCAGCGAAAATGTAAAAAAAATATGCTTAAAGAGGAATTTAGGACAAATTTCTGAATTTTTAAAGAAACAGATGAACGAGAGAACTAGCCTAGTGGATATCTATTTTGAGTAGAAGGAGTTATAGAAATTAAGGAGATAATTTTAGACATAAATTTTATCAAGATTAATGCCATATAAGTTTTAGTTACTATTCCTAGTCATTATTTGACCCTTCCATAATTCCAAACATGACTATATCTACAAATCCCTTCTATCCCCCACTTCCACCAACCCACCTCCCCATCCTCTAAACTTCCAAACCATTACCAAAACCGCACCTACAGCACCCCAATCCAGTCCCTCCCCCCTGCTCTCCCACCTAAAATCCCTCCCCTCTGCACCCACCCAAATACCACCTGAAGCCTCTGCCTTACTTAAGAAATAGAACATATTTTTATATTTTGAAATTTTATGTTTCTATTAGGAAGAGATTTTAGGGGTTTTGGGGTTTTGGGGTTTTGGGGTTTTGGGG